GTTTTCTGGTTCAACCATCAGAACCAGTAAAGACTCTGTAAATCCCAGTGGAGGAACTCTGACCCTCTGCTTTGCTGAACTGATTTCATTCAGACACAGAGGGCAGGTTACCAGTAGGAATGAGCAGCTGAAGGTGATGGTAGAGTCCAGGCTTTGACTAGGCCGTACCTACATTTTACTTCGTTTCATTTCCATTCAGAGCTGAACTTGCTGGAGTTCTTTGGATCGTTGTTCTACCAGGTACAGCAGGTTCTCCAGGTCCCTCAGCAGCACATCAGTCCCACAGCATCACTCTGCCACCTCCGTGTTTGACTGTAATGTGATGTTCTGGTTCTGACCCGCTGTCAGTTTTACACCAGATGTAACGGGACGTTCAGGTTCTGAAAGGTCCAGTCCCGACTCATCAGTCTGCAGAATGTTTCAGGGATCATAAATGTCAGACGGGTCTTTGTGTTGTTTGGTGTCAGCCTCTCCTTATTCTGGAATCGTGACCTCTGACCTTAACCGAGGCAGTAAAGTCTGGTTCTGGATTCTTCTGGGACCTCCTGGATGGGTCGGGTGTTTTACTGAACTAATAAACAGTTAATAGTTTAGTTAGTTATAGTTATTATGTTTTGTGCCATAAAACCTAAAACATGCGCAGCCTTTATGATTCTCAAACATCATCAAAGATGCAGAGACAATAACATCCTTCACACATGAAGTTTCTCTTTTGAAAACATTGAACCAACTGAAACACACAATATTCAATAAATACTGAAGTTTATCTTCATCATCAACATAAAGGACATGTGAACAAATTAAACAATTAATTTCTGAGAATCATATATAAAAGACAACAAACCAAAAAGTGAATTTATTTTAAGAACTGAGAACATTTTGGATCCTCTGAAACTGAATGAAATCCTGAAGTTTCTAACAGCAAAGCACCAGATCTGATCTGATCTCTGGCTTTAGTTCACTTCTATGTCACAAAGCTCTGGACCATGAATATACTTTATTAAAATATGAGTTTGTAATTTTAGTTTAAGTAAAATGTCCTTTTCCATTCATGGTTATAAGCTTAAAAATAAAATAAAAATGATTTATTCAATATTATCTTGATTTATTCCTGTAAATGTTGTGATAATCAGCCTCATTAAATCTCCTCTCAATCTGTCTGCAAACTTCAGTTTTATTACTATTTATATTTAACCTCATTTTGTTAAATAATCCGTTTTTATCAGTTTCTGAAGATCAGGTTCATTCTCAGCTATAAGCACGATGTCATCTGCATACAGAAACATAAAGACATTTATATCAGATATTCTCACGTCTGACTCCTTAAACACGTTACTAACTGATTAATAAATGAAATCATCACTTTACATCTGCTTCTTTATTTGCTCCGTTTATGTTTGTCTGAAGTTAAAATGTGTTTGATGACCTGAAACATTTGAGTGTAACAGGAAACCAAACCAGATCAAATCTGCAGAAGATGAAATGTATTTTTTCCAGCTCTGTAGTTTCCAGGATCAGAGTGAATCCTGAGCTGATTGTTTCTGCAGATAAACTGGTGCCGCCCGAGGTGACTGTGTGTCCGGTGAAAACCGAAAGCCGTGTGGAGGGAAACACGGCTCTGATGTGTCTGGCCTCGGCCATGGATCCTCCTCTGGTCCAGATCTCCTGGAAAAGATTGGAGAAGGACAGCAAACTGGAGGAGCCGGCGCCTGCTGAGGAGAAACAGCAGGAGATCAGCGGGTCAAGAAGTTCTGCCATCATCAGGCTGGTTAAAAACGAGACGCTGGACAATTATGATTACATCTGTGAAGTTCAGCATGAGGGCAAATATGTGAGGAAACAAACACGGCTCCATGGTACGAAAACTGAAGATGAATAAAGAGATAAAAAAAGAGACTCATCCTCAGATTGATTCCTGTGACTGAAATGTTGGATTGTTTTTGTTCCAGAACCTCCAGAACCTCCAGCTCCAACAAAGTCTGGAGCAGCAACTGATCCGCCAGCAGCTGCAGCATCTGTCCGTCCTCAGCTCCCAGTGAAGCTCCCAGTGAAGCTCCCAGTGTCCTTCCAGCCTCGCTGCAGGGTGAAGCTGCTCTGCCTGCTCTACTCAGTGCTGATAGTGAAGAGTCTGGTGTACTGCTGTGGACTCTCTCTGCTGATGGTCCTCAGGACCAAGGGACCGGCCCCCAGCTGAACCCTCTGCTGCAGCTTCAGCAACGCAGGATTTTATTATTAATCACTGAAAATCATTTATTCAGCTTTAGCTTCATTTTAATTAGTTCTGGAGCTTCTTTGTTTTTATAAAGTCAGATATTCTCAGCCAATCAGACGTCAGAACGATCTGCTATGAAGGAAACTAAATCAGTTCAAGGAGATTTAATGTCATTGACTTTAATAAAAGTTTAGTTTTTAACACATTTTCCTAGAAAAATGTCAGATTTGATCCAAAATGACATGAATTAATTCAATGTTGATTCTTTTAATGCAGTTTTATTGTAATTATGTACCAAATGACTCTTTACCATAAATATTCATAAAACTCCATGTTTATAATTTCATGTCAGTCTGATTCTGACCCCTTCAAATAAAGTTTTACCAAACATTTAGATTAATTCATATAAAATTGTTTCTTTCAAGTTTATTTTGCAAAGACTTAAAAACTCTGATTTTGTCCAAATGTTTTTCTACAGTTTTTGCTTTATTCTGCATGTAGTTTTTGCTGTGAATAAATCCTGACAGAATAAATCAGTTTTCTATTTTCTACTAAATGTTCCTCTGAATCTCCAGCTGCTCAAACATCCAGAGGTTTGACTGAAGTGTGAATGAGGCTCCATGAGGCTCTGAGTTCATCAGGAGACATGAAGTGGTTTCATCAGCAGCAGATCAGGGAGAATTAATGATGCTGGTCGTCTGACTGGACTGAGATGATTCACTTTACAATCTATCAGCTCTGATGTTGGTTTCAGTAAAAACAATGAAAATGTTTCCAGGAAGCAGAACCAAACCACAGAGATGCAGCAGATGATGAGTTTGTAGAGCAGCAGATCTGAATCTGTTCTCAGTGGTTATTAGAAGCCACCAAACTGCTGGCAGCCAATCAGACTTCCTTTCCTGCAGCTGTGTGGGTTTGTGCTCTGCAGCCTCCACACCGTTAGCTGTGGCTTCTCACTTTAATAA